ATGTCAATGGCATGGTAGCGACTAAATAGGCAAGACGATCGTGATCGAGAGACTCACCACGATGCTCGGACGCTATCTCTGGTTGAAGGAGAAACCGATGAAGGACTCACAGCCACGGGCGCGACCGAGCTCGGTGGCGCGCGACCGGGCGCGAGGAAGACGACGGGGCACGGCCTACTCCAGTGCGATGAGGTACTGCGGCTGGCTCCAATAGGTGCACAAGGGAAAAACGGAACTTGTGGCGTGGCCAATTTTGGCAGGGGACGCACGGCTGAGGCAGCGGCGAGCGGCGGAGCACGACGGCGGTGGTGGTGGCGAAACAGGGGATGGAAAAACGAAAACGACGGCGGTGGGTGCTCCTATTTATAGAAGGAGAGGGCGCCTCCAGCTTCGCCAGCTCCCGAACGAGGTCGCCACGGCGACAAAAACGTGTCACCGTGCATGGAAGCGGTGAAGATGATCGGCGGCGGCGGTGAAGATGATCGGCGGTGGCGAGCAGGCGGTGGTGCTCTGCTGTCAACAGAAATTTTGAAATATTTACAGAATTGCCACTGAGTCCATTTTGCAAATTACTCCCAAATTTTCTAAAGAAGTTGAAAATCTTCAAAAATGAAAGTTGCTCAACTTTTCAATCTCTACAACTTTGCTTCAAGAACATTTTCAAATTCTGCCTCCATTTTGAAATTTGAATTTGGGGTGCATTTGAGTATTTGAATCATTTCAAAATTACTCCAAATTTTTTATGTAAACTTGAAAAACTTTGAATACCAAAGTTGATCCACATAAAATAATCTTTAACTTTGCTTTTTGCCTCAACCCCAAATTCCACATGGATTTTAAATTAGTCAAAAGGGGCAAAACGGACTTTTATAATTTAAATTTGAATTCAAATTTGATTTGTCTTTCTTTTGCTTTAACTTTGATTTTTGACCAGTAGCATGGCCCATTAGGGTTGTTTGAGTCAAATGACACATGGTCTCACATGATCACATGAAATTTGACCCTTGTGGTCATGATCTTTGTTTAACTTTTTGAATCACATTGCATCACATAAAATAACAACTTATGAAACAAATCTTATTTAGTGAATGCATTCCAAATTTTCTTCTTTATGAATGCTTTGCAATGCATATGATGACATGCCAAGTTTTAGTTCTAGGTCAAAACACCAGAGGTGTTACACATGGCCTGCTTTCTAGGCACGATATCGTGGAAAGGCGCCCCGGTTGGCCGGATGCGCGCTCGGTCGATGTCGAGCGTTTCCGCGTACATGATGTTGAGGTCGTTGTCTCCATCCATCAGTACCTTGGTGAGTCGCTTCATGCTGATGATCAGGTCGACAATGAGCGGATATCGTCCCGGCTGAGAGATGCATTCCGGGTGGTCGTTCCGATCGAAGGTTATGGCGGACTCCGACCATCGAAGGAAGGTAGGCGCGGCCGGCTCGGCTGTATAGACCTCACGGCACGCAAGCTTCTGGCGACGCTTGGAGTCATAGGCCGCCGACTCTCCGAAGATCATGAGGCAGCCATCCAATGTCGAAAAACCGTCGTCCTTCTCCTCGGCGCCTTCTGCGGCCGGGGTGGGTCCCCCCTGTGCACCCCCTTGTTGAGCCTCCAGACAAGAACCGCTTCATGAGGCCGCAGTCCTTGTATAGGTGCTTGACGGAGAAAGCACGGTTCGGGCACGGCCCTTCGAGCAGCTTCTCGAAGTGGATCAGGGCACCCTCTGCAGGCTTCCGACCCCCTTGCGGTCGGCGGCGGCCACGAGCGAGCCCTCACACCGCTACTTGTTCTTCTTCTTGCTGGGATGGTTGGAGGCGCCTTTGCCGGCGTCCTTGTCCCACTTCGCCTTACCTTTGAGGCGGTCGAAGATCGCTCCGACCAATTCCTCTCCCGAGGCGTGGTTGGTGGCGATGTCGAGGAGCTCCTTGGTGGTTCGCGGGCCCTTACGTCCTAGCTTATGGACCAGGGACTCGCAGGTGATCCCGGATAGGAAAGCTCCTATGACGTCGGCGTCGGCGACGTCGGGCAGCTCGTTGCATAGCCGGGAGAAGCGCCGGATGTACCCACAAAGGGTTTTCCCGGCCTTCTGTCGGCAGTTTTTTATATCTCATGGGTTCCCAGGATGCTTGTATGTGCCCTCGAACTTCCCCCCGAAGATCTCTTTCAGGTCCGCCCAACTTTGGATTCTATTGGGCGGAAGGTGTTTCAACCATGTTCGTGCCGAATCGGGCAGGAACAATGGAAGGTTGCGGATAATAAAATCATCATTATCTGCTCCGTCGGCTTGGCAAGCAAGCCGATAATCCTCGAGCCACATTCTGGGGTTCGTTTCCCCCAGAGTATTTCAGGATGTTGGTTGGTGGTCGGTACCGTGGTGGGAAGACGACATTGAGGATGTCTCGGCTGAAGGCCTGAGGTCCCGGCAAGTCGAGGCTCGGGCTTCGGTCCTCACCGCTGTCGGGCTCTTGTGGACTGACGCGTCCTTGTCAGGTCGCTCTGAGGGCGTGTGCTGGCTAGCGTCGAGCTCGCGTCGTTGGAACAGCGAGCTCTTGGTCTGCTGCGCCACCGCACGCTCGAGTAGCGTGCGAATCTCGCAATGGGTCCGACGATCCTCGGGCTTCACGGGCCCCAGGAGCCCCCGGAGCAAGGCTGCCGCAGCAGCGATGTTCTGGCTTGTCCGGGCAAAGTGTGGGAGCGCTTCATCGTCCTCGATGATCCTCCGATTCACATCACGGGCCATGGCGCGTGCACGCCCACCGTCTCTATGGTGCTCGATCTCTCGCTTGAGCTCCGCGCATTTCTGTTCGAGCTGGAGTCGCGCTTCTTCGAGCTCTTGGTGCCGGGCCTTCAGCTGCTCCACCCGCAGGCGGGGCGGGGCCCAGCATCCCCATCGGCCTCGCCGTCGAGGTCGTTCGTTGGAGTAGCCTCTTCTTCATGGATGCTTTCGACGTGTCCCTCGGGGGTACCTACCATGAAACACTCACGAGAGGGGTGATGGCTCCCCCTGCTGGAGTCAGAGCTAGAGGGTGACTCCGATTCTCCTGCGAGGAGGTCGTGGAAAGTCTCCGTGACATATTCGGTCATCCCCACGAACTCGTCGTTTGTAGGCGATGGAGGCATGCGTTGCGCCATAAGGTGGCCAACGGTCTCCGTGGCGTTGCGGAGACCGGACGGGAGCGCTGTCAGGGCGTTCCGAATGAGGTATTCCGAGGAGAGCGGCTCTTCTCCGGCGAGCTATGTCATGACGTTAACGAACGAGAAGGTGAGGTGGCGCAGGTTCTCCCAGGACGGTCGGGGTCCTAGGAAGGCATCGAGCTGGCGCTCTAACCTCCTGTAGTCGAAGCCGAGGAGCTGGTCGCTCCCAGGGGCGCAGGCCTCCGGTGCGTGCAGCTGCAGTTCCTCAAGCGCCTCGACGATCGCGTCGAGGCCGGCGGAGTGGAGAGGTTGGACGATGACAGGAGTTCGCACCAACTCTCCCTCCGTCGTGACGATGAAGTCCAGGTTCCCGAAGCGCACGTGCGTGCACGGGACCCAGCTGACGTTGTGACTAGCCATTCGAGGCCTGGTGTGGATGTCGAGACGCGCAAAAGGCCCCTACCTGGCGTGCCAACTGTCGGTGTTTCGAGTCACCACCGACGAGTAAATTTCTAATATTGCACGTCTGGCTCGGATGGTGTGCTTAGAGGACACGAGTTTTATACTGGTTCGAGCAAAATATCCCTACGTCCAGTTCATTGTTGCTGCTCGTGTTACTAACACTGAAAGTTCGTAGTAGGGGTTACAAACGGGTGAGAGAGGGACGGGTCCCAAGTCTCTGGTGAAAGGGGTGAACGGGTGCTGAGAGAGCTCGGTTGCTGCTCAGTCATGTGTTCGGGGTTCGATGGGTTTGTTCGGACCTGGCTTGAATCTATCCGATCGGTTATCAGATGCCCCTCAATGGAGCGCCCTGCTTTCCCTTTTATAGGCCAAGGGAAAGCATGGGTTACAGCGGAGGAAAAGAGGAGAATGAGAGAGAGAGAGCCGAAGGCCTTCAGGATCGTCGGGTCCTTCTTCTCCTTCATGCGGGTCCCGCCGGCACTGTAGATGTCAAAAGGGACGGTGCCACGTCGCGGTCTTGTCCGTCACTGATGCCATGCGCACACGTTGTTTGCCGGTCATGGCGCTCCACTCCGTCCTGGTGGATGTCGTGGTGAACCGACATGCCTGTCAGTGTTCGTACGAGGGTTAGGCAGAACAGTACCGGTACGCTCGACGCTATTCTTGATGTGAATCTTTAGGTATGGCCCGTCGTGGCCACGGGCTACATCGGGGCGTGCTGGTCTCTTCATTGGCGGCAGAGTTTTGACCCAGGCCCATACGCTTGGACCCGGAGTGGTTGGTGGCGGTATGTGACCCCATCGGGCGAGGCGGAGCCCGCACCCGAGGGGTCGGGCGAGGCGGAGCCTGTCCCCAGAGGTCGGGCGAGGCGGAGCCCGCGGCCACGGAGTCGGGCGAGGCGGAGCACGAACCCAAGGGCCGGGCGAGGCGGAGCGCAAACCCAACGGTCGGGCGAGGCGGAGCCCGCGACCTTGGGGTCGGGCGAGGCAGAGCGCAAACCCAAGGGTCGGACGAGGCGGAGCCCGTGGCCTGGGGGTCGGGCGAGGCGGAGACCTCCCCCAGAGGACGGGTGAGGCGGAGTTCGCCCCCAGAGGTCGGTCGAGGCGGAGCTTGCGCGCCTGGGGGTCGGTTCGAGCCATAGTCGCGCTCTTGACTACTCAGATGAATCAATGTTGATGGTCATTGCTCCTCCTCTTCGGATACCCTAGTATTGGTCCCCGACACTCCTTCAAGTAGAAACTTCCCTAAACTGAAGGAAAAAAGGAAGCTAGTGGAATCATCAGATAAAGGTGCACCACCTAAAGTTTTGTTGAATTTCACTAATACGTTTCTGTTGTTTTGATTCTAATGGTTCACATTTCTGCAGGAGAAATTGTTGGAAAAGATCAAGCACATCGAATGAGAAGCAGTGTAGGGGTTGATCATGATAACCTGAGAGCATCAAAGAAAATGAAGAAAGAATCCAATGGCCCTGTGATGAAGCATCAGCCCTCTGAGTTTGAAATAAGCAAAAGTAGTCCTGCCAGTGAGACTCTGAAAAACATTCAGAAGCGCAGTGGTATTTCTCCTGGCATGGGAAAGTATGGTTTATCTTCATCAGGTAAACATTCTCATGGTGAAGATAAAGTCTTCTCAGATGTGGTCATTAAAACATCAGATACAGAGAACTCTGGCCCTCGAGACTCATCCATTAAGAAGAGAAAATTGAAACAAAGGCCGTCAAGCCAACATGATCTGGACCCACGCTGTAGCAATACTGACACAAATGGTATTACAAAACAAAATATTAGTGAAACTAATGCTGTGAAGAAAACAACCAGGCCAGAACTGAAGTTGTCAAAGACAGATAGGACAACTACTGATTCTAGAGGCACAGTTGGTGGAGTTGATGATAGGATATCTACTGACAAAAGAGTGTTTAAGTGAGCAACTTCATGAAAATACCCATTTCCAGCATCCATCACTCTCAGAAGGCACCACAAAGAGGAAAATTGATCGTGCACAAACATCTACAGCTGCGACTTTGAGTTCGCACAAGATGTCTAACTCCCACAAGTATAAAGCTGATTTTCAGGAAATGAGGGCCTCACCTGTAGAGTCAGTTTCTTCCTCACCCTTGAGATCTTCTGATAAGAATCCTTTGGGTCGATATAGAAGCTCTTCATGGACAGTTACAGAAAATGTGCAGCCAAAGGGCGTCTAGCTCAAACGGTTAGGTGACCCGGCGGTACTCCTCAGGTCCTGAGTTCGACTCCCCGTGGGAGCGAATTTCAGGCTGAGGTTAAAAAAATCCCCTCGCCCGTCCCCATGTGCCAAAGCGCAGTTATGGCCTGGCCCGGTTCTCACAGGGCAACGGATACCGCTGCGTCAGGATGGGGGCGGGGGTTCGGGGGTTTTCTCGATCTGTGTGAGAAGATCTTCTTCTTAAAAGGGAAAACCCGGGGGCCGTCATAACCCTCCGCAGGTCGAGTTTTTTTTTTCAGAAAGTGTGCATTCTCAGGAGTCAGGGAAGAAAAATTCTTCATGCTCCAACAGAAACTATGATCTTGGGTCTGATTGTGATAAAACTAAGGCTCATATTTCTGGTTGCTTTAACGGAGACGTGGGTCATCATGTTCAGAAGGATAGGGACTTGCTGAAAGATAAACAAGACGTGATGAATGCATGCCTTATAAACAAAGGTTCTGGACTCGGTATTAGAAATGTCCAGTTGAATCCTGAACATAAAATCAATACAGATGTCCATTCATCACATGACAACCATGGTCACAAGCAACCAACAGGTCGTCAGAATGGGAAAACACCGCCCCATTTCGGTTCAAACCAAGGTGACCATGCAAACTTGACTTATGGGAATATTAAGCCTGATAAAGGGAATATACCACATAAGGACCAGAAAACAAATCCATCTGCAGTCAAAGGAAGCAAGCAGCAGCCATCCTTAATCAATGCATCAAATGGTGATGCCTCTTACAAGGCAAAACAAATAGAAAAGGCTGTTATCGGAAATTTGGAAACTAGGAAGCACGTAACTCTCAATGGCAATGCTTCAAATCTAACAAGCGCATCTGTTCTACTGAAGGAAGCTCGAGATTTGAAGCACTTGTCTAAACGTCTTAAGGTTTGATTGCTCAAAACATTTCTTATATTTTTACTGTTCCCATTCAAATCCTCTCTTGTTGCAGGAAAAAGAGGATGAATTTGAGAGTACAAGCATGTGCTTTGAGGCGGGTCTGAAATTTCTCCACGTTGCTTCTCTGTGCGAGACTCCAAATGTTGATAGCTCCAAACAAGGGGATTCTGTACAAGCTATGAAACTGTATTCTGAAACAGGAAACTTCTGTGGGTAAGAAACATCCTTATGGTTTTATTTCTTTAAGGTCTAGACAACAGTTGATTTATCATTCTTTTTATGATATTTGTGTCTATTATACCAAGTTTCAACAATAATTTTTATTTCTTGTAAAGAAAATTGATTATATTGGTTAATGGCCATTTTATAAATAAGGATTCTCTATAAAGAGAGCCTAGATTAGTTGTTTGATGGTGTGGAAGCATGTTAGGTGCTTATTTCTTATTAATGAAAAGTTTCCTAGTTCCTCCTGGTTAGTCTCGAAAAAAATTAAATGCTTGTTTATGCGGTTATAGACTTCAGCATGTTAGAACTTTCATCCTTTCTAAGCCTTTGTTGATGACATTTCATAATTTAAGTTACATAAAGACTCTAATGTGCCTTGTCATTTGTACTTGCGTTGCATGATTAACTAATCTCTTCCTGTTGGCTTTGTTGTATTCAACAGATTCTGCGCTCACGAATTTGAGCGACTCAAGAAAATGGCAAATGCTGCTTTGGCATATAAATGTGTGGAAGTGGCATATATGAAGGCTGCTTTCTTTAAAAGTCCTGGTGTAATTAAAGATAGGCATGCATTGCAGGCAGCATCTTTGATGGTTGCTCCAGGTTTTTGTTTTGACACATGCTTTGGCTCATGTATCTGAAATTCTGAATTTGAATGTAGCAAGCCTCTAGGGTCATTACAGCCTATTTTGTTTGAGGAATGTCCTTTAGGATGGGTTTGTCCATTATGAGAACATCCAGTTTTTATGGATTGATCTTATTATCCTTTTCGTCTGTAAGGTCAGACACATTCTCAAACCAAGCTGGATTTAGAATGATGAATTATTCAATTAAACTTAAAAAATTGGGGATGCTGCAATTCTGAAGGATCTGATTTGTAGTATATTATATCATATTATATAATTAAGTAGCATTGTTTTTTTTCAAGACCTTGGCTTGAGAAGTTATATTTGCACTTCACTAGTTAACAACTTAGCATTGTGATGAAGTAAAAGAAGTTCTCTAATGATTCTAGCATTTCAGCCTTGCACAGATTTGGTAAATCTTGCATCAAATTTTCAATGCATCTCTTGCTCAGAGAGGTAGATGCCTAATCTACCTTTCAGATGTATGAAGCAGTGCAAACCTACACTTTATTTAGAGTGACATCAATGCAATTAAGTTTATCTTGATTAAAATTCTGATTGTAAAAATTTTCCTTTTCTTTTTCTAGCTGAGTCTCCATCATCTTCCGCTTCAGACATCGATAATTTAAATAACCAGAGCACAGTTGCTAAGGCTGTTTCTGCAAGGGGTGTATACTCTCCTCAGATTGCTAGCAACCCCATATCTCGGAACAATCATCACTTGATGGGATTGCTTTCTTATGTAAGTTCCTGATGTCATTTTCAGTTATACCACTAGGATTTGTATATGCAAACAGTTAAAATGTAAACTATCCGGCAACTTCTCTCTCGCTAATATATAAATAGTCTCGCAGAAGCTTCTTCTGATGTGTAATTATGGAAGTTGCATGACAGTGATAAGTGAACAATTATCTTGTTATTGAAATATGCTCAATACATTGTGAATATCAGAATATGCAACTGTCTGTTCCACATCAGACTTTTTTTTTTACTTTACTCATATACATCAATGGGCCCCCCTTTTAGATAGTGCACCTATGCAATTGTTTGCATACACAGTTCTGCATGTCCTGTTTGTCATCTCTGGAGGCACTTGCTGCCCTTTTCCAATATATTAGAGGTTAGGATAATATAAGAGCATCTCCAATAGTTCCTAAAAAGTTAATTGGTAAATCAACGAGTTTTCCAAGTGGCTAAAAAAAGTTGGGAGTATATTTGTTGAATTTCTCCAACAGTTTCTAAAATCCTGCTCCTAAAATATAGAAGGCAATTTTGCATCAGGAATCCTGAACTATTTCCAAATCACCCTAACCGCTTTATATTTTTTTTTCTCTTGTACATTTGCATTGGGAACCATGTCCTACTCTTTATTCTTCACATCCTTCCACCTCTAAATTGGCTGATTGATACGCGGGCATATATTTCCGCGCGGCTGGGTCGATTTTCCCAAGTGCGAAAAGATTGGGAGTTAAGTTAGGGAGTTGTTGGAGAGCATTTTTTTTTCAATCGTACTACAAAATCAAGATTGATAGTGGGTTTTGGAAACTCTTGGAGATGCTCCAAGGGCATGGACTTTAATGTTTGGGCAGCAAACTTCCTCATACATGGAGAATAATTGGCCTCTCTTTTGTAGTTTTTGTTTGCACTTCTAATACTTCCCCACCTTCAGATGGCCCCCACCTATTAGTGATGCAAGTCTGGTTCAGATTTATAAAGTGTTCCCCTCAGTCACAAGAAAGTGACTTCAAAGTAGTACTCTAGCTACCAATTTCTGCTGTACCATGTTAGCAAAATCTTCAATCTGTTTGTTGGATATTCATTTGTTCATTCAGGTGTTCACTAGGTATTTATTCCTCATAGATAATCCACTACCAATGGCCCTTGATTCTGTATCACAATCTTGTTATAATTCCACATTTTCATGAAATGGTGCACACAACAGAGCTAAATGTACAGTATCTTCATATTGTGACCTGTGAGTAAGTATTCCAGTTCCTGAATGTTCTTTTCTTTTTACAGGCAGAGGACATAAATAATGCATTTGAGGGAACCAGAAAATCGCAAACTTCATTTTCAGCTTATCTTTCTGGTATTGGAAAGAATCAGGTGGATGAAGTTGCTCTTGTAAGGGAAGTACTTGATTTCAGTTTTCATAATGTCAAGGGATTGCTGCAACTGATTCGTCATTCTTTGGAGTCTATCAACCATGAAAATGGTAAATAATCTAACAAGTATAGGTCTCTCTGAATAGAGATTTATGATGACAAGGTTGCTTTGGCATTTGTGCTATACATTGGTACCTCCTCCAATCTGGATGTAGAAGTAAACAAGTTTAGAGAGTAATCGGTTGTGAACGGAACGGATTCACATTGCCTTCTCTTGGTTGCATGGAGGTATTATCTTGTGGGTGATCAATTTTTACCAGCGCCAAACTGCCAAAATGGGTTTCTTTACCAAGTCATATTGCTACTTTTGTTGCCCAGAAGTATTTCTTGTAGATGATGGTTTTGACTTGTGCCAAACTGGCAAAGGGGAGTCTTACCAAGAATTAGCCTGCAAATGTTAATTGCTAAATCCAACATTCTTGGTTTCGGTGTCTTGTGAGTGATCAAATCCGAATCTAATATACATGTGCTGGAGCGGTAAGAAATATTTGCGCAGTTATATTATGTTCTTTGGAATATTGCCCTGTTTTTACACAGTCCTAATCTCTCAAATGACTTTCTCATTGTGTGTTTGTTTCTTGACATGAAATGTCAGAAATGTTTTTTCTACAGAATATCTGTGTAGCCCTAATATCTATTAGACATAATGTGCTGCTCCCCATTTCTCTTTGGTTGGAGACTGGTCGGCTCGGCCGACCACTCCCTGTTGGGAGTTGGGGACTGATCGGCTCTGCTGACCAGTTCCTGTAGCTGTAGCAGTTTTGCAATAGGCCACCTCTAGTACATTAGTTGGTAGTTATTACATCAGTCATGTCTTGGTAGTGGGCTGAGGTAAGCTTTGTACTACTAGAAGTAGTTAGTATACCCTATATCTTAGTAGTAGGTAGTTGGTGTACTCTTGTACTCAGGAGTCGGTAGTTGACCAACAACTATATACCTTAGGTGTAGGTATTTGGTGTATTCTTGTACTCAAGAGTAGGTAGTTGACCAACAACTATGTATCTGGTAAAGGTATAGCTAGAGTTGTATATATTCCATCCAAAAGGCAATGGAATACTCAGTTCAGTTTCCACAAACCAAAGGGCAGGGCTTTGGTCTACGCTGGTGCCTGTGCTGAGTGTGTGTGCGCGTTGTTCTCAATCTCTTCTTCTACCTCTAGCCATAGTGAGTGAGTGTGTGTGCTGGTAAGCTAGTTGCTTACCTGTGCAGGGTAGCCAGGGATCAACAATATCATGCACTAAGCAAGTATCCTTTCCTAGATGTAGTCTCCTTAAGATTAATTCCATTTCTAACAGATTTACATTCCATCAGCATGTTCGGTTGGCTGGTACGTATCGTTGCTGGTTCGTTTATGTGAGAGAGAAGTACTGCTGGCTGGTTCATGTGAATAGTGTCCATGTGAGGGGCTGGCTAGTCCAGCCAGTCCCAGCCGAACACGGCGCATGAATGCAGTTCGAGGGCACAATCTCAGTTTTCTTTCCAGTGAGCCAGTGTAATCTTAGGTCAGCACTCTTGTCCTAAAGTCTCCCCACCTTCTATTGGCCTTGCGGAGAAGGTTCTGACAGGCAAGACTCCACCATTCGCTTGTTCTACAGTGTTTATTACTTCTGCTTTGTTTCAGTCGTGCACTCTGCATTAGTAAGGTTTGCAAGCACCCAGTTGGTGTTTTTGTTTTAGATATGAGTGAAGTAAATTATGTGGTGATTGGTGAAGGATGAGGATAAAGTTCCTTTCCACGAAAGATCATGTGAAAATAGGGCACATGAAATTTTAATGGCATTCCATGCTGTGTCCAATTGATCAATTCACTGGTTAAAATTTGTTTTAGGTTGCCTTTTTTTCTGGAATACGCAGGAGAGCTGCGCATCATTGCATTAAAATAGGGAAAAGAAAGGCTCAAATAACCAATACATACTCACACTGCACCACACACACCTCGGTTTTTTCTTCTTATCTGTTACAAACGTGCCTGTTCTTAACAAGAGACGACCAAACCCTCAACTACAGAAGCCGCTAACCACCAACTACAGATTTGTTTTAAGCTGCCTTTAAAGGTTAGTGTAATGTAAGTCTTAATAAACTAGAAGGATACCCTGCACGTTGCAGCAGGAGAAATAAAGGTGTTACATGTATGAGCTGGACCTGCATGTTCTTGTATTGGTTCTGGTTAATGGGTAAGTGTTGTGAAGAATCCAATAAAAAGCCTAATAGAATATCAGATCGAATTATAAGATGATGGAGTGGCAAAACAAATCTATGTGATGATGTGGATGCTTAGTATTTTGATAGGTTTTAAGTAAAATTGCACTTAGTGGGAGATGATGTGGATAACTTTTGTACTTGTTGAGGATGATGTGGACAGTTTTAGTACTCAGTGGGGAATGACATGAATAGCTTTCATGAAGAGAGTGAAAGTTAGTGGGAGGACGATGTGGATAATTTGCATGTTGAGATCGAAAGCTAGTGGGGGCTGCTTTTATAAGACATAGAGATTAGTGTCATGACTCAACTGCAGAGGAAATGCATCTTAGGGGTTTGGTCGATGTGCCTTTGATGGCATTCTCCCCAATTTAGCTAGAGTGCCTTTGCTCACTAAGGAGGAAATGCATCTTTGGGGTTTGGCTGGGGACGAGGTCTTTCTGCCAGAATAGCTTTGGTTGAGTTTCGTAAAGGTTGGTGTATGTATAAGCCAAAGGCGCGAGCGAATGTAATCTAGTTTCCTCTGTGTATGTGCATGTGCGCTTGTGCTCTTATCCCTCTCATGCGTCTTCGAGAAAAAAAACTCATGAACTGCAGTACTTAGTCTAAACTTTCCTTTTTCATATTTGTTTGCGTTATATCTTGCCTACTTTCAACGAGCTGCCCAAATAGTAGTCACCAACCATAAGATTTATGCTAAGATAAATGTGAGGAAAAATGGCACAAACAAAAGCTCATTTTAGTTTGGCTGTTTGTAAAGAAATCCTTTGTCGGCTTGTCGCTCTAATTTTCTTTGGTGGTTAATTGTTGACACGAGACTTGTTAATTCCAGTTTTGGAGGTGCTTTAGGACTCAGCAGTGTCTAATACTTTACAAATTTGCGGAGGTTCAGTTTGCGGAGGTTCAATGAGGATTGTCTGACTCCAATGTTAGGTGTATATATAGGCCAACATTTTAGTTAATTCCTTCCCTTTTTCTCGATACCTGTGTGTATATTATATGAGAAAAGGAAGAAAACAATTTTGTCATAATTTTAGCTAATGGCTGTAGTTATTGTTCACATGTTGCAAAATTCATTCTTTGGTGGCCTGGGAAAAACTAGGCTAGCCCTATAAACTTAAATGTTTAGGCGCCTTGTAACTATAAATGTTTTTAGCGTCTGATACATTTTTTCTTGTGGGGCTGACCTAACAACAAATGATGATGGCACTATCTGCTGCCTATCTGAGTGTTGTTTGGGTTCCTGCTTGAGCATTGCCAATGCCATTGTAACGAGGAAAGTGATGTAAAAGCTCGTGCTGCTATGCTAACGAAGAGGTTTCCTTTCCATTATTACACGGTGAGTCCGATTGCTTTGTTTACATGTTCTCTTCTCCGTTCAAACTGAAAGGCAGTGGCCCGTTGAGTTGTACGGCATGAAAGCCTTCTTTCCGTTGAGAATTTTGGTATCTTTTTTTTCTCTCGCTGGCGCTGCTCGCTTCTCTTATAATCCGTCTTTTTCAGCTTGTTTTCACTACGTCAAAAAAGGTTTTTAGGAGCGGTTGTAGACTATTTGTAGGGGCGGTTTGCTCAGCCGCCCCTACGCAAGGGTCTCTACAAATCATGTATTTGTAAGGGCGGTTCCCAGACCGCCCCTACAAATCGATTTGTAGGGGCGGCTGGTGTTATCAGCTGTCCCTAGAAATCGATTTGTAGGCGGGAGATTAGTCTCTCTAACCGCCCTACAAATCGATTTATAAGGACGGTCTGGGAACACCAGCCGCCCCTACAAATCGATTTGTAGGGGCGGCTACAGTACCAACCGCACCTACAAATCATTTTTCCACAAAAAAAAAATAAATTTACAATTCAAATTCGACCAGAACATATATTTTTCATACACAACTCCATCATGACTTATCTTCATCTGCGATTAACACTAAGTCACGACAAGGGAGAAGCAAGAATGTTTGTAGTAGCAGAAATTAACACTAAGCTTAAGCTAGTTCTCTGTTTATATGCATAAGGATACAGAAGTAGGACACAAATAAATAAACATGGAAACTTAACATAATTTTATGTCAATCCACAAATAAACATGGTGAAAACAAGTAAAATATGAAGCCTATTGGCATACATGGCAGCTGGGAGAAGAAGGTTGATAAAAAGCTGTTTGATATCTTTGTTCATGTCAGAAGTAGCATCAACTGTTATTTTAGAAATGCTTAAGCATACCTGCCAAGAAAGAGGACACATGAATATGATATTTAATAGGAACATCAAATGCCACAGAATTGATTTGGAGATATAAGGTTTTAGAATCCACTGGAGGTGCAAGATTACTTACAGAGGTTACATGTGAAAGTATAGTGTAATCAGACTCATCATTATAAGCATTCAATGATGCATAACAATGACGTCGGTGTTTGCTTGCAAGCAACAGAGAGCATATGAATCTTCCACGATACCTGCAAGAAGAATGTGACATCTTGTCAAAAACCTGAAAAAAGTATACAATAGCGCTAAATTTTTCTTATCTTTACCAATCTTATCCATTAATGAGAGCTTCTTTGCTTTGATTGCATTTACAAGTCCATTTGCAAGTTCATCATCATACTTCACTCTATAATATCCAGTTTGATCAATATTCAATTTGACCCAAATGTTTTGATTCTTCTCCCCATCGCACTTTGAGAGGCAGCAAATTCTTCAATATTTATCTTATCCGTTTTATCTTTCAATAAGAACTTTTTTCGTACATCATATGAGCCACAAGATGATGTTACAGAACAATCCACGATGCTAGGACCGGAGGATCCATCGATGTAAACTGCGCTCGTAAGGGGACAAATGACTTAGCAACAACCTTTCAAGCATAAC